TCTCTGTCCACTGGAGCGACCTTGGAGATTGCAACCGGAATCATTAACAAAGGCACAAAATTGCATCCTGGATATGAACTTATTGCACTCTGAAAATTCATCTTAGGCAAATAACCTTTATGCCACCTTATCACATGATGTTTTCTCCTTTGTTGTTATCATTATCTTTCGTAGCTTTAGATGTTAAAAAAACATGGCTTTCTTGATGTTTTTTAATAACTAGATACAAATACCTAGAAATATACAAAATATTTTCTTCGAAAAGAACACAAACATAGCTTTTCATCCACTGCTTCTGAAAAATGACATTTTGCATAAAAATAAAACTTTCAAGTAGCAGATGATAATTTATACTTAAAGATATATATGAAAATATAACTCTGGTTTAAAAAAATTTCAAAAGATATATATGAAAATATTACTCTGGTTAAAAAAAATTTCAAGCTAAAGATTTTTGTTATAGCAAAGCAAAATCATCTAAAAAATGTGCAAACAGCCTCTGTAGCTGAGTAGGGTAGCTCATGTGTCTGTAGTGTGTAAGGTGAATGAACCAGTTTTCCCAACATCCTCTTCTACAAACTCTTGCTATAGCATAAGCTCTCGAGTACTATTTTGTTAATTATTTGTTTATTATCAAATAGTTCAGTTTTTAGTCCAAAGGGGCAAATTTGGCCTGAAGGACTATTTTCATTTTGGCATTTTATGTTTGTTCACTATAAATGTCCGATTCACTTTTCAAATTGTTATTACTAAATATTATCACCCTGTGTTATATTTAAAGAAATTAAATAATGAAGAATCTCCATAAATGTATGCATGTTTCTTGTACTGTGATAAAACAACAGTACTTACAGCCTTTCTACCCAAATATGGGCATCTGGAAGCCCAAATTTAGAATTGGTTTTATTTATTTCGTATTTTGTAAAACTTGAACTGCTTCCCTTACAAATTTTTTTGAAAAAATTGCAAAAAATCATCACATTTTTTAAATTTTATTATTAAATACAACGAAATGAAACAAATCAAAATATGTAGGTTTTAAGTTGAATACTTAATTTTTTGAAGGTGTAAAAGCATGTAGTTTTAATATTAGTTTACTGTCTTGAGTTATCTCGGGCAAACAATAAAAAGTTTAATATTAGTCTTTGTATGATAGTTTTTAAAATAAGGGACAACACAAAGTGATACCTGACATTCTACACTGGTATCTGGTCTCTTTGAGTACACTGTCTCATTGGATTATATGTTTAAAAAATTATTTTTCCACTTCTTCATAATCATTATCTGAAAAATCATCGCTTTCGCTATCTTGCATCATCGCCATTTATTTTTTCAACACATATATACTTCTTTATACAGTCAAAAGTCTTTAATCCGGACTCGTCGGGACTTCGGCAATTCTGGATTATCGGTTTTTCCGGATTATAGATCATCAATTTAAATCTGGTAAGATGGCGTGCAGAAATTATAAAATTAAAAATATGAAACCTTAATTTATGAAATAAAGAGCAATTATGATCTAAAGGGTATCAAAATTTCCAAAAAAATGCTTTATATTTATTTGTTTACTTTATTAAATATTTCTTTCAATGCACGCATGCGTAAATCATACATTACGCATAGTCGAAATTAGAAAATTGCAACCAGAAAACTATTTGATGTGTATTCGTGATATTTATAATGACGAGGAATTTGATTTAAATCGTATCAAAGACAGAGTACATCCAGATGAAATACTACATTTAGTAAGGAATTATAAGCCAAATAAAATAAAAACATCTGCCCTGAAGATAAGGATAGGGCTGACAGATCAACTTCCAGTTAATTGTGCACCGCGATGCCCCCCCCCCCCCCCCGAGCAGCGTGAAATTGATAAACATATTTCGGAATGATTAGAGAATCAAAGCATAGCCTGTATCCATTTTTTGCAGCAATTCCACTTTTTGTTTGATGGACATCGAAACATGCTTTCGCTTTGTAGATCCTTTGGTAGCTCCAGAATCGGAAATTCTTTTTGACATAATCGAAAGTTCAAGCTTACTTTTATAAAATTGCTCTAACAGTCTGCAAAAAAAAAAAAAAAAAAATTCAGCCGGATCCAATTAGAAGATTAAGGAACAATGCAATCTGCAACATTAACTGAAATAGATAATTTTAGCTTAGCTTATACCGTCTGTTATACATTAAACACGCATGCGTAAAGTTATTATGTGCATGCGTTAGCTTTGAGGTCCGGATTATAGATCATTCCGAATTATGGACGTCCGGATTAAAGACTTTTGACTGTATATTACTAATCCACAAGCTGACGTATACCATTCAATAGGGAAACACATAACCAGTCCCTTCTAAAGAACCGTGCAACCAACAAAATTTGGCAAACTGCCAAAAGCTGAATATTTCCTTTCATAGAAAAGATTTCCTTTCATTTCCTCCAAGCTGAGTAAAACTGTGATAAAACAAATCATACTAACAAATTCTGCTTTGCCCGAGTTTTCACGGGATAAGAATTACTGCAATATATACAAATAATTAACTGCAATATATATGAACCCAAGATAACTCGGGATAATCAAGCAAACGGTTAATGAATTTTTGATTAACAAACAAAGATTTAAAAAGCGAGCAATGGCAACACTCTACTGGGGGGGGGACGTTTTAATATCCAGTGTGTGGAACTGTGTATCAGAAATTTTAAAGATATGCTTATTTTAAAATTATTTTGCGGTATTGTTGTTGAACTGAATTCTATGGTTTAAATGCGAAGGACATGGTATTTAATAAATAAAGGTAACGCACAAAACGTTAAAACAACGCCCCCCTAAAGGTGATTTAAAATCTGAAACCTTTCAGATTTTTTTCATATTTTAAACTTTTTTAGATATTGGATATCTAAAATGTGAATTAAATCCTTTACATTATTTCATTTTTTGTACTTGTAAAGTTGCAATTAATAGTTTCTTTGCTTTTCTGTTAATGGGATTCCAGTTGCCAAACATGCATCAGAGTAGGAAATATGATAGCCTGTTTACACTGATCTGTAATGGCATCATTGTGAACAAGTTGCAAAAATGAACATCGATCTAGTAATTTTCTGTCTTCAGTTTTTAGTTGTTTTTGTGTTAAAGTGGAGATAGTCATTCTTCATTAAATTTGTGCTCAATGCCAAATTCTCTGTTTCCTCTTAAAAACGCATCAAAGAATGGTCCAGTTTGGCATTGCACACATTAAGCATTTTATATAAAATAGTTCTTTTCATGAAGCTGTATGTATTTTAGAATAGCTACTATATAGTTATATTTTCACCAGTGTATGTTTGGTGATAAATGGCATCACGTTAACAGCAAAAAAAAAAAAAGTATATTTCATCAGATCGGTTACAAACTTTTCAGGAGAGAGAGAGCACACATAGCAGTGCATGATGGGAAACACTTTCCTAGCACAACAAAACACAAAAAAGGAAGAACATGATCAGGGTGAGAGTGTATGTTTATTATTCTTAGTGTAGAAGAAACCAAGAAATAAGAACAGAAACAATCATAATCAAAGAAGGGTACTATTCGGTTTTGAGGGCCGTAAAAAATCGCCAAACTATTGTTGATGCAAGAAAGGAAGTATAATAGTAAATAACTATTTAAGATTGATGTTTTAATTTAGATGAAAGGTTAATTTCATATAATACTTATTATTATTTATATAAAAGTTGCTTAACATAACTGAATGGATGCCTGCATCGCTATTTCGCTACCGAGTTATTGCTAAAGCATAGTTTCATCTCGTTGGTTGTTCGAACATAATTTTCTATAATGAATGATGCCTTTTCTTTGAAAAACTTCTCGGTAAAATGCAGAATCGCCCACTTATTTGTTTGCCGCTTTTTACAGGGGTAAAAACAAATGGATTTTTGTCAATTTTCTTTTACTTTTTAAGTGAAAATAGGTCGATTTGTACATATATAAAGTCAAGGCTGGGCACAGCGCCATTTTTGTGTAATTCTGGGATTTTTTTTTTTTTTTTTTATGAAAATAGGTCGATGTGTACATGAATACCGACTATGTGCATTCTTAAAAACGCATCAAGCATGGGTGATTCTGCACTTTACACAAAATTCTGTTGCACACGTTTCGTCATGGGCAATTCCCAAATTGTTAAATCCATAGGATATGAAAAAAGACTTTAAAAATTAAACTAGTATTTCAATGGCATCTTTAGAAATATAGAACTATATAAACTTACACAATCTGAAATCAGTATGTTCTCAAGATTTGGCGCGCTGTTAAATGGGCGCATTTGCTAGATTTGGCGCTTTTGCGCATATATTTTCGCTGCAGTTTTTTTTTTTACGGTCCTCAAAACGGAATAGTACCCAAAGAAGTATTCAAAATTACGTTTGAGATGTATCCTCAACATGGGATCAGCGGGATGCACTGTGGTCAGTGCATTAGCCAACAAGATCGCCCGTCCTCATTTGTATTGATTACTTCCTCTGGGAGGGGGTACATCAAGACACTGGTGTACAAAACTTCAGTTAACAGTGCTGAAGAACTCGTTCCACGCATTGTGGCACTACTGAGGAACTCCGCAACATGCCTGGTATTTTCCTCAACGTCATATCTTCCATGTGCCGGAGGTATGAGGCTTGCATCGTGGTCCGAGGTTGTAATTTCGAATTTTCCAAAGTCTAGGTGTACTCTATCTCTTTTGAAAGTAAACGGTTTGCTGAAACACCCTGCATATTATGTCTTAATATATTTTTGGATCTGAATGTTTTAATTTTAAAAGCATGAATTCTCAGTTTTAATTTAATTTATAGCTTAAATTTTATTAGCTTTGGTATTTTTGTCTTAAAATATTTTTTGAATTAGAATTCTTTCTATAAAAGAAAATTCTGTTATTAGAAGTCTTTCTATAAAATATGAAAAATGAATTAATATATGAAGCAGTTTAATTATTTACAAATAAATCTTTTATTTCAAAATACTATTAAATTTTTAAATATTTGAATTTCTTTTCAGGTTGTTGAAAAAAATAGTAAACCACATATTGAAGTAGAAACAGGACATGGGAAAAAATTGTTTGCTCCAGAAGAAATATCTGCCATGGTCCTCACAAAAATGAAAGAAACTGCTGAAGCTTACCTTGGGAAAAAAGTTTCTCATGCGGTTGTTACTGTACCAGCTTATTTTAACGATGCTCAACGTCAGGCAACTAAAGATGCTGGAGCCATTGCAGGACTGAATGTTCTTCGAATAATCAATGAGCCTACAGCAGCTGCTATTGCGTATGGGTTGGATAAAAAGGAAGGAGAAAAAAATGTTCTTGTTTTTGATCTTGGTGGGGGAACTTTCGATGTTTCTCTTCTTACAATTGATAATGGTGTATTTGAAGTAGTTGCAACTAATGGAGATACTCATCTTGGTAAGTTTGAGAAAAATAATTTTTTAATTGTAACATTTAAAAAGGGTATGAAACCATTCTTTTATGTAATATGTTTACATAGCATAAGATGTTTTCTGTTACACGAAAAATCAAGAATTTTTAAAAAGGCTTTCTTTCCTTAACTTTTCACAGGAAATGAAGTCATTGTTGATGTTACGTTTTATACCTTGGATTATGCAATAAATTTGCAATTTGTGCAGTATACTTCTGATTAAGTAGGGTAATACCCAATATTACATCCACAGTTAAACAATAATTGTGGTTAAGCTGGCAACAGTTGAAATATGCGCAGGAAACCGGAATAACCTGTACTATATTTAATAGAAACTATTATTAATAATACCCATAGTTCTAAATGTTTTAATTTGAAGAATTGGTTGATCTTTACATTATGGTAACTTGGCGTTTTTTTGGCGAAAATTTGGCGACCAACTCTCCTACAGAAACCCCTATTTTTTTTTCCCGCCGCCATTTTGTCTTCATAAGTAAAGACTGTTTCTTTTCTTTTATCTTACTGAACACTTCTTCCAACAATCTACTAGCCAAATTACACTTATGCTAGAAATTTTATCTAACAAAACTGCTTAATCATGACAAATATTCACTGCAGAATTGGGGAGGAAAAAGTGCACAATATCTACTCCTTACGCGTTTTTTCAAAATAACACATACACATAAACCATATACACGCCGACTTATTTTTACTTAAAAAAAACATTCCAGAATTGCACAAAAATGGCATTGCTCACACTCTTCACTATATCCATGTACACTGCTTTTTTCTCATAAATTAGAAAAAATTTCACGAAAATACATGACAATTTTCTCAATCTTTAAACCCGGTAAAAAGAACATATATGAAATTACCTGATCGCGAAAAAGTATTTACCCTTTCCAAATATGAACATTTCCACATATAAAATAAATAAAAATATCCAAAAACCTCTAAATCATCTATTACATTATACACGTCACCAACGAATTCATACCGCAAGCATTACAAATACTAGTGTCAGATATTTAAATTATTTCCATGCACGTTTACTTCAACTTAAAACGTATACCAAATTCCTACAAACATAAAATTCACAAAATAACTATCATTAATTAAAATATCACTAAACCATGTACACGTCGACTTATTTTTACTTAAAAAAACATCCCAGAATTGCACAAAAATGGCATTGCGCAACTCTTCAATTATCCATGTACACTGCTTTTTTCTCATAAATTAGAAAATTTTTCACGAAAATACATGACAATTTTCTCAATCTTTAAACCCAGTAAAAAGAACATATATGAAATTACCTGATCGCGAAAAAGTATTTACCCTTTCCAAATATGAACATTTCCACATATAAAATAATAAAATATCCAAAAACTTTTACCTCTCAATCATCTATTACATTATACACATCACCAACGAATTCATACCGCAACCATTACAAATACTTAGTGTCAGATATTTAAATTATTTCCATGCACGTTTACTTCAACTAAAACGTATATACCAAATTCCTACAAACATAAAATTCACAAAAACTATCATTTAATTAAAAATAATTAAATTCAAAAACACTACTTAAAATATAAATGAGCACATACATTAAATTAATACATACATAAATACCCATTTCGAATTCACGTTAGTTACGGCCATGGGATCCAAAAATTCACGAACACTGTTTTCACACAACACAGAATAAAGCCAAATACAAAACTTCCAGATTTTTTCCCGATTTCCCCCTTTTCCGATTAAAGAACCGTAATTCGTCATTAAATCACATGACATATCCCATGATCTCTCATTTCCCTCACAACAAAATAATGCGTAATCGGAACTGAGTACTGCTCACATTATTACCAAAGTCCCAGGTAGTAACCTTTATCGCCTCCAAAATGTCGCCAAACTACCAGTTACCATATTGTAAAGATCAACCGAAGAATTAAATTTGTTTACCCATGTAAATTAAATCAGCTTTTGAAATAGGAACACTCTTCAAAAAAAAAAGTTTTTGCTTATAATTTCATAGTTCAGTAGGAATCAGAGGGAAAGAAATTAATAGCTCTACTCTTTATTTTTGTGAATTAACAAGTGCTTTTTAATAGATGATTTGACAATATTTATATATTCCAGACTGTGTATAATTAAATTATGTATTGATTTGCTTTATTATGAAGATAATTTCTAGATACATTAATTATCATCTGCTTTACTGCTATCATCTCATGCATTATTTTGATGGTTTGTGATATTTTTTTCTTTCCCCAGCAATACTTAAGCAAGACTAGTTAATCTATCCCTGGTTAATAATGAGGACTGTATAGTGGTCTATAAAACAAACTCGACCAGTTTTTTATATGCCAGTCTTTCATTTGATACCATGACTGATGTAGCTCTTTTTGTCTGTTCTAGAGTAGAGTTTCTTAAAAACTGGCTCGTGACCCCTTTCTTTAACTTATAATATTTTTACATAAGGTATCTGAAAATAAAGATAAGACAATACAGACAAAGAAAAACGAAAAATGTTTTGATGCATTCATTTTATAATATAAATATTAATTTTACTTGCTTTGCATATGATGTTGTCATTTCGTCTGCTACTTACTTAAAATTTTCACATTGTTCTATGTCTTAACATTAGAAATTAAAGTTAATGACCTAAAACTGCTATAGTATATTATGATACAAGTGAAAAAATTTACAGTTTCACTCACGTGTGCTGAATTTGCGCAGTGCTTATGGGGTTTCACAAAATTTTCGTAATATTATGGGGTCCTGGGATACCGAAAAAAATCTTGTTGATAAAAAGGGGTCACGGCTAAAAAAAGTTTAAGAAGCCCTGTTCTAGAGGATCATTATAATGCAATTCAGAATTATTAAGTTTTTATATGAAATCATGCAATTATGTTTTGAATATATCTGGTCTGATTTTTAGTTTTAAGCTTAGAATGGAAAGTGAAAAAAAGTTATTCATAAATATTTTTCATATTCTGCCATATACAACAATCTTTCATAAATGAACAGTGTTTTAAAATATTGCAATTTGTATAGCATGGTTTCATGATAATCTCAAACTTTATAGGTTTCAGTATCTGAAACAGAGCATTTGTTTTAGAATAGATTATGAAAAATTGATCTTATTGTTAAATTTTAAGTACTTAGAGTTTAAGTTTTTAAGAAAAATAGTAGATTGGCATCTGAAGGAGTGTATTTTTAAAAAAGTATTTCTTATATAACTTACTATGCTTTTTATTTACTTTTCAAACACAATAATTATATTCAATTAAATATTAATTTACATGCATTTAATTTAAAAAGAATTTAGATGTGCAAAAACATTTTAAATATATTTTGAATCCTCTTGTTGAGATATCTTGAAAACACTGCATTGTGAAATGCAGAGTTTTCATTTTTAATCTTGTTTAAGCTTTTCCTTTCCCCTATTTAATCTCATACTTATTTATTCTAAAACAGACTTAGTATGATATTATAGAACATCAGCTGAGAAATCTTTGCAATGAAAGGCTATATGAAAATAATTTAAAAATAAAAAAAGCATATTATTTCAGTTGTGAATTTTCATTGCAGTGGTTTTCCTTTTGAGGATTCAAACTAGAACATTTAGAAGTACCACAAGAGATAATAGAAAAAAGTACATATATTAATAATATAAAGCAGTAGTCTTCAGACTATGTTATTTTGAACCTTGGGTTTATGTGAGTCAGACCCCAGGGTTCCATATCAACATAAAAATTTGAAAAGAAAATTATGAAGCACAATAGTTAATGTTTATTTACTAAAAAATATAGACACATTTAGTTACAGATTAGTTTTAAAACTTAGCATGTGGTCATGTATGTAAAAGAGAATGACATGTAATGCTTTATGAAACTAAACAGTTTTCTAATGGAAAATGGGCCTACCAGCGGCCGAGCGGTAAAGTCGCTGAGCACTGGTAGTTCGGTCCAAGGTTCGAATCTCGCGAACGGGCTGGCTGCATGGGCATTTTCGTGTTTTCCCCATGTGTAACATGTATATGAGCCAGTTTCCCTTAGAAAGTCCTTTCCTTAGGCAGATAGTCCTAGTGTGCTTTGCCATAATCTCAATAAACTGAACCATCTAATGGAAAATGGATTGAATTTGGGCAAGAGTGTTAACAATTTTATATTGGAGTACTTTTTCAGTTAAAGAAAATTAAAAATCTTTCCCAGGGAAAAAAAAATAAGTATGACTAGATAAAAAAAAGTCTGTTGAAGTACTGCAATAAATCAGAAAGTTTGCCATTAAAGGAAAGGGAATAATTTATTACCAACAGGTTCAGTATTAAAATCTAAATTTAAGCAAGAATAAATTTTGCTTGTAGATTTATGCAGAATACCTAGAAGTTCTTCACACAGCTTTAAACATTTTAATGCCATCTGAAACAATATATTTAAGTGAAAAATCTTTTTCTGTGTATGTGGCAACAAAAACAAAATATAGAAACAAATTACATGCAGAATATGAAATGCGACTGCTGATAACTCAATGGAGCTAAAGACTTTGACTGTTAGCGTAAAAAAATGCCAGAACACTCTGAATATATGCACAAGTTAATGCTATTGAGTTACATTAATTTTAAGTTAAAATATTGTAATACAAAATACAGTACTTTGTAATAATAATACATAATTTAATTAACATAATTTTCTTTATGTAAAGTACTTGTAGCATATTGATTTACTTTAATTATTATTTTAAGATACATTTTTGTAAGGGTAGTGTGTAGTTCTCTGAAAAAAACTAGTTCTGAAGGTTCCGCAAGTCAACAGACTTTGAAGACTACTGATGCAAGGTAAAAGTTATAAAATCAAACATGAGCAGGGACATAAAATATCTCAATTTATTACTTTTAAACTCAAAACTGTATTATAAATAGAAAATTATGAATTTTAAATGACAGCAATTATACTAGCAGCCAAAATTGTAAAACCCTTTTGGAAAATACATTTTTAAGATTTGATGACATATAACATCAATAATTTTAAAGAAGATTTTGCTCAGTTATATGTCACTAGAAATAATTTTATAAAATGCTGTTAATTACCTAAAACATTATTAAAAAAAGATTTCATAAATTTAAAATTTAAATCTCAAATGCTGAGATGTGAAAAATTGGATCTAGTAAGCATGAACCCTCACATTTTTTGCTGCTAGAATTGATAGTGTGAAGGATCATGTTTTTGATTATCAGGAAGTTTATCACAGCTTTGAATGTAATCTTTTTCCTTTACATTTTTAAAGCCAGTTTGAAAAGTCCTGAAAATGATAAAAGTAAAAGTATATGTTGAAATGTCCTGAAAATGATGTACAAGTTATTAAATCCCACAGTTTTGTAGCATGGATTAAAATGTCAACCATTGAACAAAGAAATGATACATTAAACAAGTAATTTTTTCTTTTACTGCTTGATGCCATATAATCTGGTATTTGTGTTTAGCATACTCAAATGCTAGTTTTGTTCTTCAAGTGAAAATTGTAAAATTTCTGTCATACATGAAAATATTAATTTACATCTGTGCAAAACAATATTCAATAAGCATAGAAAATAATTTTGATGTGAAAATTTTAATCTCCTCAGTATATTAGTAAGTATATGAGAAAATACTTGTTTTGTCTAATTATTTTAATATTTTATAACTCTAGGTGGTGAAGATTTTGATCAGCGAGTTATGGAGCATTTTATTAAAATATATAAAAAGAAAACTGGCAAAGATATAAGAAAAGATCACAGAGCTGTGCAAAAGTTGAGACGTGAGGTTGAAAAAGCTAAGCGCACATTATCAACTGCTCATCAAGCTAGAATAGAAATTGAATCATTCTTTGAAGGAGATGATTTCAGTGAAACTCTAACACGAGCTAAATTTGAAGAATTGAACATGGTAATAAAATTTTCATGATATATTCACATTTTAAGTCATTTGCTAAATCATTAATAGTATCAGTTTGATAGGAACTTTGAAATCCAGTGGATTTATTTTAGCCCAAATTGGTTTTAGCTTAGTGATCTTATAACTAAGAATATTCAGTTTGTTTTCAGATTAAGAAGTAAAATTAATTTTACGATCTTTAAGTTTTACTATTTTAATTGCAGTAACTCAGATTAAAAAAAAAAAAAAAAAAAAAAAAAACTTTTTTTTATATTGCCAACTACCATTGATTTAGTGCTAAATAGCTGCTTAGGTTAATCTCATGATTTGGAGAATAATATATTATTTTTAAATAGTTATATATTTTACATTTTTATGACTTTGCAAAGAAGTGAGCTTGAAACAGTAAATACAATTTATCAATAAGATATTGGACAAGAGTTGAAAGGCAGTTCTAAGATATTTTCCACCTCCTTCTTTGGGACAGTGGCTTCAATTCGAATTTGAAATTATACTCCTGGTCCTTATATAAAAATTTAATTTTTAAATAAGGATGAGTTTAAAAAATAATTAATTTTAAAATAAAATTTTTATTTAGTTTTAAATTATAAAACAATAAAATTGAAAACTTGTGAATCAGTCAGTATATTATATAAGAAATAAACTAAAGTTTGTGGCTAATATAACTACTGAAGACATTTGCAGTAGCCATAACTGACAATTGCAGTTTTCTTTTTTTAATTTTACATTTAGTTAATAAAATGTATGTTTACAGCCCACATAGCTGAATAATTTAATATATGTATTTAATTTCACTTTTAAATATATAAATGGTACATTAAGAAGTTTTTCTGTGCAATTATATGAACTCATTTTATCTTCATGTTTAAAAACATTGAAAGTTTTTTCTTCTTGGGCTTCCATAATAGTTGAGGAAAATAAAAAATTTGGTTCACAGCCAACCAAAAACATAACTTAAAACTGAGGTATGCGCACCTTGATAAGTTAAATGTTACATTAATATCAAAATCGTGCATATTTAATAACTCAAATTATGCATTATAAATTATGTCAAATGTGTTGGTCTTTTTAAGTGCATAATGTGAAAACCTATTTTTCACATTTCGAGGTTGGTAGATAGGTCAAGCCCACGTAAGCTTATATTAGACCAAGAATATTGTGATGACTAAAATTAATTTAAATGTGTTGATTTAAAACAGCACAAGTTTATTTTAGACATATATTTTATTTTTTTCAGTACTAATACCTTTCTCTTAGTACTTATAAGAATTTTTCAAATACCTATGTTTCACGTGGAAATACTTTCCTTCATAAAAAGAACAGGTATAGTACTCGTAAAACATTCCCTATTACGTAATATGGTTCTATAAATATAAATATTGTCTCTTTTTATGTATTTAAAAATTTTTTTAAGTACCGTGACGGCATAGAAGACTCACCCTCATTTAGAATGCCACACACAAGGGAAAAAAAGTTTCAATAGTCCGCACGACAGCGTGGTACCACAGTAACTTAAAATGTGCTTTCTTTTAGTTCTCGTGTTTCGTAAAACCAAATAAACAATCATTGAATGCAATTACCAAACATATTTTTAATTAAGGAAAATTAACCAATGGCAAGCTATTTTGAACATGATATGTAAATTTCAATAATGAATAAATGAATGAACAACAAGGAATCAAACATAATACAAAATAAAGCAGAAACAACAAAAAACACAAGATTCAAGGAAAACGTTACCTATCATGAAATTAGACTTTAATCACTTTCAAAACTATAAAAATCCTTTTCACTATCATCATCATCGAAAACAAGAATATCATCTTCACTACTGTTTCCGTCATCGCTAGTATCACCTTCTTCAAATAATGCGTCGTCTTCTGTTCCGTCAAGAGCATTACTGATTCCACTTTCTTAATATCCACTTGTTCCATCGTTCTCACACTTTTTCCTTAAATGGCTTATTCAACAATACAGCTAAAGGCTGCAGTTGGCTAGTCAGTCCACCAGGAAGGACAGCTATCTGGGTTTTTAATTCTCTCGCTTTATTAACTGATTAACTTATTAACTTTTAAACTGATCCAAAACCAAAAGAGAGGGTTTTCTTAAAAGTCCACCAGGTCGCCTCGCACCATGCGTTCTGTAACCACAGTTTCATTCCAGCTTCATCCATCCAGCCTTTCGGATTAATATGAACAATTGCACACATTGGAAGTTTTTCTTTTGAATATGAAAAACGGCGGTAGTTTTGTGCCATCAGCACAACATGTTAGAACTACCGTATATCGGGTTTTTTCATGACATGTGGTTTTTATGGTTATTGATTTAGACCCTTTAATGCTCAGTCTTTTTGGATGGTACATCAAATGTGAGTGGAATTTCATCTCTATATTTCCGTATTTGACCAAGCTCAAAAGAAGTTTTCTTGCGTGCATTTATAACCAACCTATGAAATGCTAGTATTTTTTTCATAATCTGATGGCATTTTCTGTGCAATAGTTGTTTTTGTGCGCACTGATAAGCCTTGCTATCTTTTATGAACCTGTAGCACCAGCCCTCAGACTCTGAAAAGTTCTGATTCCCATGTTTTTCTGCAAATCCTTTGGCCTCATTGATTATCATTTTAGTTGAAACACTTATCCCAGATTTCTCCTTATCTATCACCCACATTTTTATGGCAATTTCAAGTTCAGGCCCAGATGGAGCTGGGCATCGAAGGTTATTTTTTTGTTTTTTAGCAGTCTTCAGTTGATCTTCCTGCAGTCACCAAGTACGTATCAATTTTTTGGTAGGTGGTGAACCAAAATGCCTTGCTGCTGCTCTGTTTCCATGCACGTTGGCGTAGTTTAACACTCCTAGTTTATACTGAATTGTATAGCATAATCTCTTGTTTCCTGTGGTCATATTTTCCAGGGTATTTTTTTAAACAAATAGTTTCAAGCACTGATACCGACACGTTTATGCAGAGTAGCACCGATACCGACACGTGTGTCGGCTAAGTCAAAGAAAGTCTATGTGAAGAAGGAAAGGCTTCATAGACGTAATGTGACCGTCGAACCTGTTTGAACTTCGACATCACCTTCGAGCTTTGCCGCTTTTTGGCGACAGATATTTCACGCATGCGCAAAGTAATTATGGCAGATGTAGAAAAAGTTATGTGTGTTTAGACTTTTATCCGGGCTAAAAATAGCATTCATTATTGAAAGTTATCCTTCACGTATAAGATGCAGGTAACTTTTTTGAGACCAAATTTAGGAAAAAAAGTGCGTCTTATATGCCGTCAAATACGGTAGTTTTTAATCATTGTTCTTTGTAAAAACTTACTGCTGAACTTTATATTTTAAATGACAATATTTTTTAGGACCTTTTCCGTTCTACTATGAAGCCCGTTCAGAAGGTTTTAGAAGATGCAGACTTACAAAAGAAAGACATAGATGAAATTGTCCTTGTTGGTGGCTCTACTCGAATTCCAAAAATTCAGCAGCTGGTGAAAGAATTTTTTAATGGCAAGGAACCATCAAGGGGAATTAATCCGGATGAAGCTGTTGCTTATGGGGCAGCTGTTCAAGCAGGAGTTTTAAGTGGAGAAGAAGACACTGGTATGATTTTCTACATGAGTTTAAGGTTTTGAAATTTGGCTTTATTATTATAAAAATGGTGATATTCAAAAAAAGTGTTAACATGTAATATATACTAAGTATATATTTATTAAGTTAATGTATTGTACAGCATAATATTCTCTCTATCTTGAAATTTTTATGAATTTTACAATCTTGTATAAAGTGCCCTTTCCCTGAATGATTACAAATTAAGATTTTAAATTTTCAGGTGAACTTGTTTTGCTTGATGTTAATCCTCTGACCCTGGGCATTGAAACTGTTGGGGGTGTAATGACAAAACTTATTCAAAGAAATTCTGTCATTCCTACAAAAAAATCTCAAATATTTTCTACTGCTGCTGATAATCAACCAACTGTTACTATACAGGTAAAATTTTGTCTTTTATTTTAAATCAGTATTTTAGTAGATTTATGTATAATATAAAATTATAGATACTAGAAATTTTCATTTTTGATAACTTCATGCATTAAAAATTTTTTGTACTCTCTCTAGTTTATCATCTTTTTAATCGAATTCTGAATTAATAGTTAAAAATCTAAGGTTTTGTTTTTCTACTTTAAAAGGCATGGAATTTTTAAAATGTGCTGCTCAAAATTGATAAAATTATTTAATATTGTCAGTTCTGTCTGCATTAAATTTTCCAAATACAAGCTAAGTTAATTTTTTCCAAGATTTAGTTGGTTTGTATATAAAAAATTTTCAAAATCTATTAAAAACTTTGAAAAATTCTCTTTCTATTCTTGTTAACTGTCCATACACCCTTTTTCTAAATCATATGGGATAGGTTGTAAGGATAAATACTGCCGAGCCAAAATATTATGACCATCCTCACATTCTTCCATGAACTCATCTGGATAATGTAGAGAGCACATGATTAAGTGGGAATGGTATTTAACTGCTGCTAAGAAGGTAAGGAATTATTCTTGCACTTTTGCGAGTGATGGAAAAGGCTGCTGATCTAAGCAAATCTGATAAAAGGGCAGATTTTGATGGTCCAGAGACTCAGAATGAGTATCTCCAAAACTGCATGATTGATAGGTTGTTTACGATCTACTTTTGTTAGTATTTATGCTAAGTGGATAAATGATTGTAAAACCAGCTAAGGTGTTGGATGTCCACGCATCATCAAAGAAAAAAAGACTGTCCCACTTGGAACAGCAAAATTGGTGCTAGACAGTTGCTCAGCTGACAACCCAATATAATACAGGTCCAAGTGCAAGTGTTTCGGAACAGATAGTTCAGCCGACACTGTTGGCTATAGAACTGCACAGCAGATGTCCCATTCATATGCCTCTGTTGACCAAGCAGTGTATATGAGCCAATTTTCCTTAGAAAGTCCTACACAAAGGCATCCTTCCCCTTAGGCAGATATCTCTAGCGTGCTTTGCCGTAATTAAATAAACCACAAACGAAAACCAAACCTGTTGACTAAGCATTATTGTCAGTTATGCTTATAACATTGAGACTGGACCATAGATAAGTGGAAGACAACTGCCTCTTTGGGTAAAATTGTGATTACTTATTCATCACATTGATGGTCGTGCTAAGGTATTCCATCTTCCAGGCAAACATTGCTTTCCCCCCATATACAGCAAGTCATATACAGATTGGTAATGGCAGTATTATGCTTTTGGGAGTTATTTTCATGGGCAGCTCTGGGACCCATAGTTGTGGTAGACCATTAAAGCTGCGAACTATCTGAACATTATTGTGGAACTTGTGGATCAGTTGCACCATTACATAGCATCTTGTCTTCCCAATTGGAAATGAAATCTTCTAACAGGACAATCAATGCCCCATGTCACAAAGCTCGAATTGTGTAGGAGTGATTTGAGGAGCATAAGAATGAATTCCAATTAATGCCCTGGCCATTTAACTTGCCGGATCTTAACCCAATAGGCCCACCAACGGCCGAGCGGTAAAAACGCTGAACTCTGGTAGTTCGGTCCGAGGTTCGAATCCCGCGAACGAGCTGGTTGCATGGGTGTTTTCGTTGTTTTCCCCATGTGTAACATGTATACGAGCCAGTTTCCCTTAGAAAGTCCTCCACGAAGGCATCCCTCCCTTTAGGCAGATAGCCCTCGTGTGCTTTGCCATAGTTAAATAATCCAATCCTAACCTGATAGACCATTTCGGATGTCAAGGAGTGACAACTCGGAGACCACCATGTCATAGTCATAATATATTGGATATACCAATAATACAGTGATATACCCATGAATACATTTATTTTTTAGGTCTGAAGTTATTTTAAAATCATCTACAAATTATAAAAATATATTGTATTATAAATATCTGTAGAAAATGATTAAAATCTATAAGGCATAGCACTTGGAGAAGTTTTATAGCTAGATCAAATTACTGTAATTCCTGCATTTTTATTTCTTTTCTTTTCAGGTGTATGAAGGTGAAAGACCCATGACAAAAGATAATCACCTACTTGGTAAATTTGACTTAAATGGAATTCCACCTGCCCCAAGAGGTGTTCCACAGATTGAAGTCACTTTTGAAATTGATGTAAATGGTATCCTGAAAGTTACTGCTGAAGATAAAGGAACTGGCATAAAAGAAAAAATTACAATTACGAATGACCATAACAGGTTGACTCCAGAAGATATTGAACGCATGATTAAGGATGCTGAACAATTTGCAGAAGATGACAAAAAGGTTAAGGAACGAGTAGAAGCCCGCAATGAGCTTGAGTCTTATGCTTACTCTTTAAAAAACCAAATAAATGACAAGGAAAAATTAGGAGCAAAACTGAGTTCTTCAGATAAAGAAAAGATTGAGGAAGCTTTAGATGAGAAGATAAAATGGCTAGAAGCAAACCAAGATGCAGAAGCTTCAGACTTCAATAAGCAAAAGAAAGAATTAGAAGATGTTATTCAGCCTATCATATCAAAATTATATGCTGGTGCATCTCCTCCATCAAGTGATGATGATGCAGCCAAAGATGAACTTTAAAGCAATTTTTCTTTAGGCAAACAAATTTCATTACTTTTATCATACCTCAATAAATATATCATTTGCCATTCAAATTTCTTAACCAGTTTTGGTCACAAAAAGAAGCAAATATAGACCCCTCTCTTTTCTGAAAAGACTTTAAATGATATATTGAGATTATTTAAGTGCTTGAATCTCAATAATGTGTTCATTCAAAATGAAACTTAATTTTCTTAAAAGCTTTATTTTTCTTCTTCCAAAATCTCATCTTATTTATTATCATATTTTGTGATATTTTATAAATTGGAATTGTTGGTATTTGTATATTTAGTATATATTTTCTATATACTTAATTTAAATACAAATTTTTCAAATTATGTTTGTATTATTTAAAGCACTTTTTATATTAAAAAATAAAATTTATTTGGTGACTTCTGTGTGTGATATAACTTTAAAGATTTTTCATTTGGATATAGCTACTATATTCCCATGTTATTTTCTTGATACATGAATTTCTATGCATATTATACTAGGTGATTAGTTATGAAATGTAATTCAGCAGTTGTAAAAAAAAAAAAATTGATACCTTAAGGGGGTGAATATATGGCCTTGAAGAGTTTCCAGTGATGTATATTAAACAATCTTCATAATTAATATAAACACAAATTTTTAATTACTATATTTGATGATAAATATATTAAAGTATGTTATTTACAATTAGTGGTATATTGATCAGCTAATCATTGATCACCCCTGCAATGTAAGAAGGTACTAGCCAGGGTAAGATAGTATGTGATAAGGAATGTTAAGTGGCTGCGAAAGATACCGAGATGTCATTTCATCAGTTATCTGTAATAGCTAAGGCTGATGATTTAAGCGATTTGGATAAAGGCTACATTGCAGTGACTTGAAAACTAGGAACACTTATTTCTAAAATAAAACTGTTCATGAGCTGCTATGAAAAGTAGAAGAACGATGAAACCAATAGTAGATATCAAAGGTGTTAAATATCCATATCGCATTGGTGTTTTTGACATCAAAAACTGCCTTCCTTGTCAAAGGAAACTCATCGGTGTTTCTGAACATCAAAGACTGCCTTCCTCGTCAAAAGGAAATAGGCAGATGTTGGTGGCTCAGCTAACAGCATACAAGTTTATTACTCTTTTGGATATGAAATTTGTCTTCTTGCTTGCTTCTACTAATATAGCATCACAGATTACAGGGGGTATGACTACAATTAAGGTGACCATATGTCTCGAATTTTCAGTCCCTGTCCCGATTTTATACCAGTTGTCTTGAAAAACAGTAGTGCGAGACGCTAAAAGTTTAAACGCATATGTTTATTTAAGTAATGTAGATTGCAAACTGAGAATACAAGCATAAGTTAAGAGATGTGCATCATACCGGCCACATAAAGAGGGGATTCACCATTTAGATAACTTTAGAAAAACCTGAAGAGAATGGACACGTGACACAATACAAAGTTATTGAATTTCAAGAAACTAATGTTTCTGTTTTATGAGAGTGCTGTTACTTATTTGGAGAAATGGACCAAAAAAAAAAAAAAAAAAAAAAAGTATTGGGAGATGGGGAAGGAAAGCTGGGTCATATTAAATGAAATCCCTTCTTGGAGTCAAGTTGAAACAGCCATTTTGTTAATATATATTAGAATATGTTTACCTTAAAAAATATCACTGAAGAAAAGTTTTTGGACTAGTGATAAAACAGTTTAATGTGGTACTTTGAAGGGTATGTTAATTACCAAAATAAATTTTGATTAAAATTGTGCGAACTTTTACAAGAGGATCAAAAAAGAAAAAGATGTTCTAAGAATTATTCGTGCTTCAGAGAAATATAAGGCTACTTTAAAAAAATAATTTGGAATGGTTACAAATTTATTTTGTTTAAAAATGAACATTATGTTTTGATTTAGTCTTTATTTATTAAAAAATAAAACATGATTTATTTTGATATATTTATTTTTGACCTACATATCACCTCCACCACATTAACCCGGGAAGACTAAAAAAATATAATCTTCCCCCATAATGCGAAATAGTTAGGTCCATCAGTAGCTGCCTCCAAGATCGTGTTCTACACATTCTGAGTGCAAATGGCAAATTCCAAGCATTTATTGTGGTTTAAAGAACAGTTTGGGATGAGCTGACACCCCATGCACGTTTTTGTGTTGCTATTTTTCAGCGTGAGCCATGGTGAATTCAAGTCGCTCTGTTTGGTCTTCCTTATTTGATGTATGATCATGAAATGAAAAGGCTTCAAAAATTAGTAGGGGAGGTTTCATCGGATGAAGATTCTTTAGAAGAAGAATTAGGAAATTCAGATAATGAAGATATATTTAGTGATCATCAGTCTATCAAAAGAAGAGTGCGACTCTTCAGAACACATTCCTTGTGATCAAACTAACTATTTTATAGAAAAAGATAAAACAATACAGTGGCAGAAAGAACTCTTTTGAGGTCAAAGATGAGATCAAATATTTTGGGAAATTTTAAAAGAGAAACAGACTCAAAACTTTGCTTTTTTTAGAACTTTTATACATAGCTGAATTGCACAAATCTTCCCATGCATATTTTAGAGATTTATGGACGACTGATGACATAGGATTGGATATTTTTCGCAAAACTATGAACTAGAAGTGTTTTCTTTTCATTCTTTGTGCCTTATAATTTGATGATGTCAGAATACGAGGTAACAGAAGAAAGAGTGAAAAAATTATCTCTAATAAGAGATTTATTCGAAAATTTTGTCAACACCTGACAGAAATTATATCATGTAGGGGATTACCGGACTTTGAACGAAAAGCTAGAATTTTTTCGAAGACGATACTTCTTTCAGCAGTATATACCTAAGAAACCTGCAAGATATGGTATAAAGATAATTGCTGTGGTTGATTCTAGAATCTTCTATACTTTCAACATGGAAATTTATGCAGATCAGCAGCCAGATGGGCCTTACAAGAAAGTCAACAGTTCTAGTGAAATAGCATAGTGCATCTTAGCTCCATTATACAAATCTGGAAGAAACTTTACCGCAGACAATTGGTATACCAGTTATGAATTGGCCAATTTCTTACAGAAAATGATCTGATGAACCATAAACAAAGGAAAAAAAATGTCAAGAGCACTGTGAAATCGATGCTTCATGTATAAACTGCAAAATAGCTAATGCTTCTTCAGCCTAATTGATCTGAAAATTAATAACTCATTGTTCATGTAATAATTCTGCATAAATTGAATTATAATTGCATTCACAAATAAACAAAAATTTCTCATAGACATCAATGATTCCTAGTCATCTGAAAAAAAAAAAAAAAAAAATTGGTTTTAATTTTAAAATTAACATTTTAAGCTATTTTATATAATGTTGCAATTAATAGAGAATGCATTCTTTTACTGAATTGAATAATGTTTTATTTGTACGTCGTTTAATTGCTTGGGGTGTGTTGACACCCCATGCACGTTCTCGTGTTACATAATGCAGCACGCATCCTTCCGGGTTAACGATAATACTTTATTTGCAAAAAATTATTTAAATTATATATGTAGCATTTTGAACTTCAAAATCTGGACGCCTTACTACAATGGATCCATGAACAGTTGCAGCTTATGTGAATGTTGCTAACTAGTTACATCCGTTCATGGATTGTCTGCCCTGCTAGAAATGAATTATTTCACCAGGACAAAACTCCAAAGTTTTTAAGAAACATGATAAATTTTAGTTGATGTATATTAATTCTATATTGTAATGTTGATATTAATTCTGTTGAGTAAATTAAATCTGGGATCTGACGAAGTGCAAGCTCAAAGTTTACCAACTGTTTTCTTGAAATCTATGAAAATTGTACAGCCTCTGCTTATAAATCTGGTTTAATCTTTCTCTAGACACTTATCAAGGACTTGTAGAATCCATTCCAAGATGTGTTGCAGTTGTATTGTGTGCCAAAGGTACACTTGTAAAAAAACTTGTACCTTCTAATAATAGAAAAATAATCAGTTTCCCTAATCATTAAATATTACTTCAATTAGATTACTAATCATTTATTGCAAAACACAAATTAATTCAAATAACACAAATTCTGCACTGCAGAATTGTGTTAAGACCATCGAATGATGGAAAAATATCGCATACAAAACAGGAAAAAGCTTTGTTAAGGTCCGAAGACAAAAACAAAAATATTCGTTCTTCACAAGGTAAACTTGCAATAATTGGAAAATGTGTCTATTGTAAAGCGGTTTTTTTTTTTTTTTTTTTAATTATTATTTGGGAGGGCTCTACACTTGTAGTTTTTAGTATTATTTTGAGAACTGTCCATTAAATTGCTCACAGGTACAGAAATAACTTAATTTTTCTCATCTATTTTTAACAGTGGAAATAATAACTACATCTCCATTCACTTTAAGGTATTTTGTAAATTTCAACAGAGCTTTTTATCTGAACTCTAGAAGCATTTATTTCTTCCTTAAAAAATGTAAAAAGTTGGTTCAATTGGTCGAGGATTCTCAAAAAATATTTCTCTACAGTTAATTGGCATGTACATGCACAATTCAGATTTTTCCTTATTTCAGTATTATGCAGGTGTTAGAATTGTTTCAATTCTTCCTTCTTTTTCACAGTCTTTCCAAAATAATAATGAATATCAACAATGTGTTCATCCTCACTAATTGGCAAAGAATCCAAGTCTTTTTCAACTGCTAAATTTATGAGATGAAGGGTACATTTCATAATTTGTAAATATGAATTTTTCTTTTTTCTAAGATGCCTGCTACATCAGTCTAAGTTTATCATTCCTGGTGCAAGAAAGTAAAACATACTCAATTTCTTAAGACTGGATTAAAAACAAGAAAAACAGTTTTACATCGGTATCATTGCTTCCATCGGTAGGGAGGCAGAATGGAACTGTTTTAATTTAATCAACAACTGAAGATTTATTTTTCATATCAATTTCTTGAACCCATTTCTTCTACAATTGCAGCCGTTTTTGTCCTTGCACTTGAGCATATCTTAGTAATTTTACTACTGGGAAATTTTTTTCTAAATAATGATGATGAATTCAGTTGCAGGTTGTGCTCCAGTAAAAAGGCAGAGAACAG